AGAGGGAAAGAGAAAAGCGCATCTAGACTGGTAAAAAGTGCAGAGGTGCGGAAAAGCGGAGGTACGGAGGAGCACAAAACGTGCTGGCAACTGGGTACGCTGTGGTCTTTTTCAATCCGCAGGGAGATAAAAACTCCCGACTACTCTGAACTCCAGTTTGGAGCCAGACTATGGGGACCCAGACTCATATGGGGAGAAAGTGGACTGTCTGGCATCGGGCTGGAACACGAGGGCGGCTTTCTCTCAGAGGTGCTCGCAGCATTCATTGTTCCTGCATGGGGCCGCGGAACACAAAGACCCCAGGACCTATCCGTGGCAGCACCAAAGGCAACCACTGCTATTTGCACCACCCAGTGATTCCCTGAGACACCGCCCCACCCAATTTACAACCACACCAAAGCTATGCGCAGAGGCTTTTGCATATGAATGGCCTGGCCTTTGCAATCTAAAACCTACAAAACTACAGCTGGGTCAAAGAACCCCAGAGTTTCCAAAAGAAGGCCTAAGGCTAGTCAGCAGCCTACATTGCTTCACAGTTTTGTCTCATCTGGGCACCTCCAAACCACAAACAAAAAGGAGGAATCTGCAGATCTCTCTGTAGCTCCTGCTGGGTGGCCTCAAGCAGTGGCTGACTTTGCACCTCCTTGGAGATCCAAGAGCCAGTGTACCCAGTGGTCAGAGTGAGACCACACCAGAGTACAACTCTGCATATCCATAAGCGACACACTCAGGGGGCAGACACAGTGAGCACCAAAATTCCACTGAAGCAAGTCCTGCTCCATCCCCATAATGTTTCCAGCACAGCAGGTCACTCATTGTAGACACAACTGGTCCTCACAGCCAATTGGTCTGGAGGTCAATTCCTCCCAGTGATACCAACAGCAATCAAGGCTTAACTACAACAAGACTGTGCACACAGCCCACAAAAAGGTGCACGAAGAGAGTCCACGTCAGGTGACTGCGGAGGCTGAGCCACTGGGCCCTAAAGGACACCTAGAATACAAACCTACCCTATCAACACAGGGAAGCAACCAGAATGTGGAGACAATGAAACATGTCACAAATGAAAGAAATGGATGAAAGCAAAATACTGGATATAGAGTTCAAAACCACGGTTATAAGGTTACTCAAGAATCTTGTAGAAATCTCTGAGAAATTTAGTGAAATCCTCAAGGATATGAAAAAGGACCAATCAGAAATTAAGCATACACTGACTGAAATAAAGAATAATATACAGAGATCCAACAGCAGACTAGAGGATCCCAAGAATCAAGTCAAAGATTCAAAATACAAAGAAGCAAAAAACACAAACCAGAAAAGCAAAAGGAAAAAGAATATAAAAATAT